TCTTGGCAGAATTTTTGAACAAGTTCATGAAGCTTAAAAACGTTATTTTTGATAATATTTATATCTACAATGATATTTACGGCTGGGCAAAAATCAATTCAAATCGCTTAAACCAATCAACCCAATCCAAACCGATCGATTTGGGTTGGTTTTCAAGTTCAATTTGGGCTGGGTTGAGTTAGAAAATCAAATTTGAGGTCGAGTTGGTTAGATCTTGGCTTATGAAAGTTTCATTAATGTAAAAATTAGGTTTTAACTAATTAATTAGAAATATTTATTAAATAAAGATAATAAAGTCACAACTATTCGATTAATGGTTACAGATTCATAATTATAGGTCACAAATTTATTTATAGGTCACATATCGTCAACTTAATTGGTCAAAGATTGTTTCAAGGTTACAAATTTTTTTTTTTATAGATCACAGATTATTTCAAAACCACGGATCATTCAAATTACAAGTTATATTTTATCTACAAGTCACATAGGTCACAATTTCTTGGTCACAAATAACAAAATTGTTGGTCATATGCACTAAACATCCAACTTTGATACTGATCGACCACTAATTTTTGGTCACAGACGCCCAAATAGTTGGTCACGGATGTCTAATTATTGGTCACAAACCCCCACCCATCACTACCACTGCAACCACCTTCGCCATCATCATCAACAGCAATACAACAATAGTTGGACACTACCGCATCCAGAACCACCATCATCTCACCAAGATGAGCACCACCGTCTCCTGCCACCACCATCATTAGCATCACCGTACCCGTAACACCACGACGCCCACAACACACCACCATCGCACATCGCACCGCCCACAGCACAACACAACACAACACCAAAACCACCACCACCATCTCCTCTATCTCCATTTACATCACACCCAACCACCATCCCCACTAAGAATCCATAAACCGGCCACCACCACCATTACCACAGCACACTATCACCGCATGCGCAACCATCACCTCAAAAAGCAACAAAAAAGGTCCAAAAATCACAAGAAAAACCATTGCACAGCGCAGCAAAATCATGGTAGAAACCTCCGCTTGCGCAACCACCACCCCAAAAATGCAAGAAAAAATGTCGAAAAATCACAAGAAAAACCTTTGCCCGCTCAACTAGCCATGACAATGCCGCGCAACGCCGCTATGAAAGCTCACTTCGATGCTCATAGCTTTGATTGGCGGTGTGGCTTCGATTGGCAAGATTGCTCATATCGCCAACTGCGACGGCGCCACACTGCAGCAACTATGCCGCCGCTCGACGCTTACATCTTCGACGGCGACAACGGCACTCCTCAACGTTGATGGTTATCGACGGAGGGCAGAGACAGAAGAGAAGTCGACGTGAGAACTGAGAAGAGAGAGGGAAGAGAGACAGGATTGAAAATTGAAAATGGGGGAAATTATTATGGTTTTTAATTGAATTGGGGATTAATTATATATAATACCTGATTTTTGTACAAGTAAACTTTAACCCTGAATTTTGAATTTAAAAGTTTAAGTATCTAGATTTATGTAATTTTTCCATTAAAAAATTAATAATTAAAATGAAAAAATCTCCATAAACACAATAGTGTATATAAGAGAAAGGTCTAGAATGTGCAAACGTCCCATTTTTTTACATAGACTGATTGATATGAATAAAATGCACAAATGCAAAATAATATAACGATAAACTAAAAATTAAGGATGTGATAATGAAATTAATAAATATGTAAAAATATAATGCTTCATAGTTTCAAAATCATTTATAAATTTATTTTCAAAATTAATTCCTTGTATAGGTTAAAAATAACTGAGATTTTCAAGTGGATCCAAACTTTAAAAATAGTTCAAATTCAACAAAATATAGTCGGATCCAACTTAAATTGGGTCTAAACCCAAACTGACCAACTGCTAGTTTTCGGATACGAGATATTCATCCTAGTCACTATGGGCGTATTTGCCCAATTGACACATCTGAGGGAATCAATGTTGGACTTATTGGACCCAAATTGGGTTGGATTTAAACAAATAGTTGGGTTGGGTTGATTTGATTTTAGATCAAATTGATCATGTTGAATTTGATTTGGGTTGGATTCAACCCAATCCAACCTACGCTCAACCCTAATTGCTAATATGGGAAAATTTCATATTCAAGTTATTAAGTATCATTCATTTCAAAAATAAGAAACAAAGTTTCAAACATCAAATATTAATTAAATTTTCTCTATAAAATAATTAATTGAAAATATGTTTTATAAATTAAATATATTAAAGTCACAATTTTATATAATTCAGTCATAATTGTCAAACTAATTGGTCACATATTATTTTTCAATCACAAATAAAATTTTTTATAGGTTATAAATTATTTCACGGTCATCAATCAGAAATTTTACAGGTCACAATTTGTTATCAATCACAAATTAAAAAATGTATAGGTTATAATTTATTTATCGATCACAAATCATAAATTGTATAAGACACAACTCCTTACGAGGTCACAATGGTTACAAATTAACAAATTTTTAGGTTACACATTATTTATTGATCTCAATTTAGCTATTTAATTGATCACATATTAACTAATTCATTAGTCACAATCAACCGTATAATTTGTGACACCACTACCTCCAATGCCATAGCCACAAGAACCACCATCAACACCTATCGGTAACAACACAACCAACATAACTACCACCACTACTTTACAACCACCGTGACCTTAGCTACCATTGTCAGCACGACCACCCTCACCTCGGCCATCAACACCACCAACACAACAGCGACGCCACCACCCAAAATCACTTTAAACCACCATAAAACACCACCAACCGCAAAAACTACTTGCAAACACCACTATGACACCGGCTGCAGCAAGATCTGAATTTGTATTTGCCGTCGTGGCCACCAATGCCAAATTTTCTCTCATGAGCAACAACAGCATCTCCAAACCCACCATTACAACGCAATCGACACTGCAATCCACATCTCCACCACACCACTTCTGCCAAATCATCCATCCTCTAAACAACAAACCAAGACATTTCTGCATCATGTATCCAATAAACCCAATTTGAGGACTAGATGGAACCCTAAGCCAGATCTCTTCAATTTGGGGAAAAAAAATGCATTCCAAATACTCCCCGCTGACAATGATCCCACCTGCAGCAGTCTCATTAGAACCTCCTATAAACAACTCCTGATCAACTTCCTTAAACCTAAAACATCAACCATACATCTACATTCCTGGATCAATTTTGTCACTGACATCCTCCACAACTGCCACCACCAGATCCAACGAAAACACTCCGTCATCGTCGTCTTCATCGCCACCAGCAGCAACACCAAGCAGCCACCACCATCGCCACCTCCATGCCACTAACACCAACACAAACAACATCCAAACCTAATTTCTAGCGCGCATGAGAAGATGCATCACCTAGAACCATTGTTGCAAAAAGCAAAATCTTCATGCCGGGCGCTGCTATCGCAAACTGCAGCATAATGCTGTTGTGATAGCCTGAAAATCAGGAAAGTTAGCTAGAGCATCGTCGGTAGAAAGTCGTTGCTGTAAAAATCCGGAGAATGAGATGGAGAGTGTTGCCTTAGATAGAAGGTGTTAGATATTTTTCATCATTTTGCATGTGTTCAATTTTTTGTCTTGCGAATGATTTGCCGCCCAGATTAGTGTTTGTCGCTGTCCATCTGTTCATTTTTAACAGTCACTTCCAATAGACGTACTCAAGGATTTCAAGGGATACACCTATTCAAACAGTTGCCTCAGTTTCTATAAATTCTGGACGAATTCTCATTTGCAAACATATTAAAAACAATTTATTCTTCCTTCTTTCTCTTGGCATCAATCAATTATTTTCGAGTGTCTTCTTGGTTTGATCAAATAATCACAATTTGAATCAAACGACTCCATTGTATCCTGAGAGAGATTTTCTATCATACCCCAGTTGTGACTTTGTTGAATATGGGAGAAATATCTCTTAAAAGATAACGTTTTTTCGTGCCTTGGAGTTCATTAACGTATTCAGATTTCCCTACATTTTATCAACAGAAGGTAGAGAGAGGAGAATATAGAGAGTAAAAAAGAGAAGAAAATGAGAAAGATCTAGGGTTTTGAAATCTGCTTGGGGTGGATGGTGTGGTGGTATATAAATTAATGTAATTTTATAACAATAATGTAATATAATTATTATAATTTAAAATTTTGATTATCATCTGATTTTTGATAAAAAAAAATAAATTACAAATCTTAATTTTGAAATGGAAAGTTTAAAATTCTGATAGGCTGTAATTTCCATATATCGATATTAGTGACGTTACTAATAGTAATCTTGATAAGAAAATTCTCTTATCTAAAAATTTCCAAATCTATGACAAACCAACCCATGAAATTTTCATGTAACATACTTTCATGACAAAGTTCATCAAACCTAAAAATGTTCTTATTGATAATCTCTTTATTTTCATACCTTTGATCACGTAATTATATTTTTTCTAAAATAAATTTTTTTTTTTAGGGGAGTATGATTTTATTTTTCAAAGAATTCACTCTCTCTTTCTCTTTCTCATCTACCCACTAATTAAAAAAAAACAAACATAACATTTTATAGGTTGAAAATTAAATTAGCCATACACATTTAAATAACAATTTTCATTCAAATAAGTTACTCGCAATCAAACGCATCCTTAGTAATCCAGTGGTGCAAATGACAGGAGTGAGATAGTTTCAACCTTGCTGACAGCCACAGTGTGAGCATTCAATTTCTGAGATATGGAATTGGACTCTTTGTAGGCATCAGTATACGAGCAAACTCTTGTTCCCTGACCCGCTGGAACACATCTCGTGATTTACCTCCTTCAAGATACTCCATTAATGAGACGGTGAGAGTTGTCAAGATTGGGGTGAACTTTTTTAGATGTAATGAAAATAGAAGTATTTTAATCAATCACGATGAATGTACTAACTCTGTATAAGACGACGAAAATAGATCGAACAGATATCCATTTTTCCAAATATTTGTGTGGTTTAGTTAAATAGAAAGCACCCTCTTCCTTCACCAAACACCAATTTGCAGAGAGATATGGCCTTGCCTTTCTCTCCCTCTTCTTCCTTTCCAATAATTGCATCCCAAAAATCCACTCATCCCAACACCACCAAATTCCATATTACTGAAAGACCCATTAATATTTTCACAGAAAACGCCTTAAAATTCACATATTCCATTCCCAAAATCACCAATTCGACCTTCCTCAACAAAGCCTCCCAAGAGCAAGAAAACACCAGTGTTGCCTCAGAATCCCAAACCCAGGAAAACCCTCCTGAGGATAACCGGGTCGAGAAAGATCAGAGTGAGGGAATATCAGAATTGGGTATGGAAATCAAGAAGGCAATGAAGGAGAGGGAGCAAAAGGAACCTGATTTCTTGAGTGGGGTGGCAGAGGAAATTAGGGAAATTGAGTGGCCTGGTTTTAGTAAAGTGTTGGGAACTACTGGAATTGTTTTGGGGGTGATGGCAGGGTCGAGTGTCGTTTTGTTAACTGTTAATGCCGTTTTGGCTGAGCTTTCGGATCGGGTTTTTGCTGGAAAGGGTATACAGGATTTCTTCGGGTGATGATAGAGGAGTTGTGATCTGCTGGGAGAGGGTATGCCCTCTTGACCTGCACCTGCCACTTGTTAAAGAAGCATTTGACTGCTTGAATTTTTGTTACATAGTTTCTTATTTTTAACTTGTATTCCTCTCTGTCATTTCTTCTATGGTTTTTGAGGAATTTTGGAATGGCATCTTCGAAAGTGAAAAATAGCTTTTAGTTATATATTGTATGTGAAAAACTAAAAATGGTCAAGTCCAAATTGACACTAAATCAATTGAAACAAATTAAACAAATGAAATAATGCCAGCTGAACATTTTTTTTGATACCTTTTTTGACGTTCCTCTAAGTGCAAAAAATCTAAAGAGCGATGTGATGGTATTGATCAAAATTAATGGTGTAGATATGGTCACACGAAAGAGTTTAAATCTTGATGTCAAATGCAATGTACATGTAACATGGTTAAAACAAACGATACATTTGACATATATTTTAAAATGTCAAATATTATTTCTAGTAGTGAGAAATTACTTTTAGGCCATGTTTGATTGGTCTTGAATTCCATGGAAAATGAAAAATGAATTCTATTTTTCAACTTTTTTTATATTTGATAAAACATTTTTTTCATGAAATTTAATTTTGTCTTGAAAATTGTGATTTTCTTGGTTTTCCTTGAAAACCATATGGATAAGAATTGGTTTTCCAACTCACTGTCCATGTTTTTTTTTTTTTTTTTTGCCATGAAAATAAATTTTAAAAATTATTGTAAAAAAAATATTTTTCTTTAATGAACAATTTTCATGCAAAACAAAGCCAAACGAATACCAAAAGATAGATGATTTTCTTGAATTTTTTTTGTTGGCATTGGAAACAAATTTAATTCCCAATATCAATAAATTTTATCCATTTAATTGATAATTTTCATGTAAAACAAAACCAAATGAACACTAAAAAACACTTTTATTTTAACATTTTTCAGGTAAAAAATTATATCAATCAAACGCAATAATTTATAATTTCTAGAAAAATAATTTCTAAGCAATTCAATTCCTTGAAATTCGTTTTCAATTCAATTTAATTTCATATTTACAATTAAATAGACCCTTGAACATATTTATATAGTTGTTTAGAAGTATATGTTTGGTTAAAATAGCTTTTAGATGAAACTGACTTAACGCAACTTCACCGAAAAGTTCTTCTACAAACAAAAACTCTGGTAGACGGACCTCAAAATTGACCACTTCTCTGCTAAATCAACACAGCAAACACAGTAAAGAAAGTGCAACGCGGTAGGAAGGAGAACGGAAAAAAGGTTAGCAAAGTCGCGCATTTAGGAAACAGGGTGTGGGTGAAGATGGAGTTCAGAGAAGGACATCGTAAAGAGAATTTCTGGATATTTGAAAAAACAATATTAGTTGATCATCAAAGTTTAAAAGGCCAACCTCCCAATATAAGCAAACAAGTGTCCAAGTTAGGCTACCAGAATTCATAAAAAAACCAACTCCCAAGATACAGCACAGAGTTCGATCAGTTTTAACATCTAACCAACGAAAGCATATCAAGTTTACACCAAAGGCAACAAAGCATTCAAAGTTGTTAATTATGAATAAAAAAAGCTGGCACGAGAAAGGGCTTAATAGGAAAAATATCTACTCACTAACACTCGCAGGACCAACAAGGACTCCCTGTGCATTTCCTTCCTTCTTACCACTCTCATCTTTCATTTCACCATCAGTTTTTTTAATTCTAATTTTGTATTTGGCCTCGAATTCAGCGACCTCCTTTTTCTTCTTCTCCAAGGCCTCGTTGAGTCGATTTATTACCTCTTCAATCCCCTCCTTGTTTCGCTGGACAGCTGGCAAAACTTCTTTAATGGTTCTTTCCACGAGGACACCTCCAATCATCCGGTAGCAACGCCTCGACGGATCAAGAGGTTTAATTGCGTTGATCACGAGTGAATGCTCACTAACCTCCATCTCAAGTTCAGTAATTTTGGAGTAAATTTGGTTGATCTCAGCCCTCATGGCACCATAGATGTTGGCGACGGCTTGCTCGTTCATTGGTTCCTTACCATCACCTTCAGCTTTCGCCATGATACTAATATGAATAGGAAAACAAACTTTGGTCAAACTATGACTCATGTTCTTCTGTAATTTCTACATCTCAAACAGTTGAAAATGCTTTATGCAAATCACATAATAGGTCTCACAGCCCGTCGAATTGTGTCAGGCGGGAAACAGAAAGAATATTCAGTAGATTTCTTTCCGGTGAGAACTAGATACGACCCATATTGTCATGTGTTTCAGGATGCCATTTGATCCGGGTGGACGGGAACCAACCCAGATCAATTGGCTCCCCAACGACAATAATTGGCATAAAAGGAAATAAATAAAATACAGACACGTGATAGGCTCTCTGTCAAAAATTAATCCTTTTCCGACAACAACTTAAGCTAAAAATGCTAGAAGCAGAACATAAAAGGAAAATGAAATACACAGAACTGAGAAGCTATCAATCAATGTCCATCCTTCTCTGATGAAAAGTCCAGCTAGAGATACCTTACAATAGCGACAAGCTCCATCTTCAAGATGCATCATATTACCACAAACAAGAAAAACTAAGCCTTGTTCCCACTGGATTAGGGGTTCACAACTGAATCATTTTTCTCTACTCCCTTCAGTTCATTGTTATAGACCAACTAGAAGTTCGAAATAATTAAATCCTAACTTACTTCAAAGACACTTTCAAAGTTATATTTACTTACACCAGTAAGTGTGAAATAACAAGGTAAACAGAAAAAATAAAATAAAATAAATTTAACACAACATTGTTCCCATTTGATTTGTGGTTGGCAACTGAATCATTTTTGTCCACTCCTGAAGTTCATCATTAGACCAACTAGGAGTTCAAAATAATTATATCCTAAGCACTTTCAAAATTTTGTTTACTAAAACCAGTAAAAGTGACATAACAAGGTAAACAAAAAACAAGTAACACTTGCATACATTGCCCAGAATTATTTTAATTGACAGCACCAACATGCCGCACTGCAACTGAAACCCCATAGCTTGAACTAGCCCAAACATTTACCAACCATAAACAGAGGGGAAGGCATATGAGAGAAATAAATAGTGGGTGATTGTTGAACAAAAAGACCCTAAAATTCATAGATCGGTTGAATGCAAAAATTCAGTATCCACCAGTTTCCTCAAGATTTACATCCCAGACAAAAAGATTTTTTTCAGTTCAATACTAGAAGGCATAGCAGTTTGTTACCAATATCCATGAATATATCTAAAGATTACACTAATTAGCTAAGAATATTTCATTTCTATAGGAATCCATTCATGTTCCCCTGCCCTCGAAGTCCCAATGCCTCGAGGGAAAGAGACACAATAAACTAACACCTTCAGTTTGCGTGAAACCCAGATAAACAAAAAATGCACAAACTGGAAATAATACACACATATACAGGTGCAGGTATGTGTTGGTGGGTCATGTATGACAATTCTACTAGAAATCAGTTATTACACGTAGTTTTAGGATTCAAATATTATTCGTAACTAGGATTGCCAGTATTTCATTAATTTTGTTATTTAGTTGATAAGGTAGGTTATCAGTTTTCTAATTATATTAAGAGTTTCTTATATAAGAATTCTTAAATTTTGAGGAGACTCAATTGTAAATGAATCTCTCCTTCCATTCCAATGCTTATATAAGAAGAGGACTGTCTGTACTTGTATTATGTTCAAATTATTTTAGATAGTACTCTTTAGCCTTTTCTAGTTTTTACAAGATTAAACTTCAATTGCTACAATAGTGAGATAATATGCCATCCTTAGATATTACACCGTTTACAAACCTTGATTACTAAAAATAGTCAAAAGACTAAAAATTCAACAACAAACATCGTCTATAATTCAAACGAAGCTTAAATCACTATATTTTGTTTTGCATAAATGCAAAAACTGAGCGCAATCATAAAACATTCACGATACATAAAAACCCAAGTACACCAAAAAAAGGACAAACCTTTTGAAACTAACATCTACAAACTAACATTGTATAAATTCAGGGACACAGGAATATTATGTAAAAGCATAAACCCTAACTCTTTCAAATATGTATTTGCTAATTTCTCCCAGTGTTGTGTCGGTATTGAAAAGATCAATCAAAATTGAACTGACCTTAGTAATCAGAGGGTTCTAAGTGAGAGAGGCAGCCGATTGAGCGAGAGTAGAGAAACGATTGACTGAAGAGGTCAGGAAGAGGTGAGGGGAAGAGAAGGGAAGAAAGGAGACTGAGAGGCTTTTATACTTCTATTATTTGTCTTGGATCCCACCTCAAATATTTCCTAATAAATAAATTTTGAAATTAAAGATACTTTTAGAAATTTAGCCCCTTCTGAGCTTCATTCTTCTGAGAAAATATATTTTTAAATAATATTTTAACATTATTTTAATTACATGTTTTTTAATAAAATAATATTAAATACAAATTTAAAATTTTTCTTATTTTATAACTATATATTTTTTATCAATATATTATTCAAAAATACATTTTTATAAAACGAAAGGACTCAAACAAGGGTTTAATTTAAGGAAAAAAAGTAAGAAGCAAAAGTTCCAAAATAATTTGTATAGAAGAAATACAAGGAATTTGCCTGAGCTTTGACAGCTCGGTGTACAACCCTCTCGCAAAAGAAGGGGGTAGACATCCAATAAAAAAATCACGACCCCTCTCTTGTGAGAGGGACTGTATACCAAGCTATGTACAAGTAGCAGGACCAAAAATACAAAGGCCGTGCTCACTATAAGCGGGCCATCAAATTTGTTTGAAGACCTTAAAAAACCGGGCCCAACATGAGCTAACACAAATTTGGGCTTCTTAGAATTAGAGATAAAACATCTCTCAATCTTGACTCCGAGAATCCTAGCTTATTTGTTTTTCCAACCATGCTACTTATACAATATTTTTACAATCTTAATTAACAACATACACTTGACAACATTATCTTCATCTATTTTAGAAATTATTTTTCAAATCAATGGTCCAAATCTTGACAACATCAATTTTGTCAATCACAATTATCAACAATAATTATACAAATAGCTTTATTCTTGTTTCTCACCCTTAAATTGATGCCTTGTTTGCATCCGTACCGAAGAATAGTTTTATCAAGTCCTTGTTTGAATCCCATTTTAGAAAAATATACATTTTGAAATGGTGATTTTTTTAAAAAAAAAATTTTGGAGAATATATGATCAAAAAATAAGGAAAAATTTTCAATATACGTGTAAAATTAGTTCATTGAGGAATGTTTGGTTGAAAATGAATTTTGAAAAAATGGAAACCAATAGAATTCTGTATTTATTAATATGTAAATATAAAACAACCGTTATTAATTTATCAAATAAAGGCTAGTGATTGTAACAAACATCATGTTTTTGTGTGCAAGGTAATGTATAAACTTTACGCTGCAAAGTAGCCATGCCCGGCTCAAGGCCGGGATTTAAATATGCTCATAGACGGGGGACGGCGCCTCCATTTCCATAGTTCCAGGTCACATCGGTCACAATTTCTTGGTCACAAATAACAAAATTGTTGGTCATATGCACTAAACATCCAACCTTGATACTGATCGACCACTAATTTTTGGTCACAGACGCCCAAATAGTTGGTCACGGATGTCTAATTATTGGTCACAAACCCCCACCCATCACTACCACTGCAACCACCATCGCCATCATCATCAACAGCAATACAACAATAGTTGGACACTACCGCATCCAGAACCACCATCATCTCACCAAGATGAGCACCACCGTCTCCTGCCACCACCATCATTAGCATCACCGTACCCGTAACACCACGACGCCCACAACACACCACCACCGCACATCGCACCGCCCACAGCACAACACAACACCAAAACCACCACCACCACCACCATCTCCTCTATCTCCATTTACATCACACCCAACCACCATCCCCACTAAGAATCCATAAACCGGCCACCACCACCATTACCACAGCACACTATCACCGCATGCGCAACCATCACCTCAAAAAGCAACAAAAAAGGTCCAAAAATCACAAGAAAAACCATTGCACAGCGCAGCAAAATCATGGTAGAAACCTCCGCTTGCGCAACCACCACCCCAAAAATGCAAGAAAAAATGTCGAAAAATCACAAGAAAAACCTTTGCCCGCTCAACTAGCCATGACAACGCCGCGCAACGCCGCTATGAGAGCTCACTTCGATGCTCATAGCTTTGATTGGCGGTGTGGCTTCGATCGGCAAGATTGCTCATATCGCCAACTGCGATGGCGCCACACTGCAGCAACTATGCCGCCGCTCGACCCTTACATCTTCGACGGCGACAACGGCACTCCTCAACGTTGATGGTTATCGACGGAGGGCAGAGACAGAAGAGAAGTCAACGTGAGAACTGAGAAGAGAGAGGGAAGAGAGACAGGATTGAAAATTGAAAATGGAGGAAATTATTATGGTTTTTAATTGAATTGGGGATTAATTATATATAATACCTGATTTTTGTACAAGTAAACTTTAACCCTGAATTTTGAATTTAAAAGTTTAAGTATCTGGATTTATGTAATTTTTCCATTAAAAAATTAATAATTAAAATGAAAAAATCTCCATAAACACAATAGTGTATATAAGAGAAAGGTCTAGAATGTGCAAACGTCCCATTTTTTTACATAGACTGATTGATATGAATAAAATGCACAAATGCAAAATAATATAACGATAAACTAAAAATTAAGGATGTGATAATGAAATTAATAAATATGTAAAAATATAATGCTTCATAGTTTCAAAATCATTTATAAATTTATTTTCAAAATTAATTCCTTGTATAGGTTAAAAATAACTGAGATTTTCAAGTGGATCCAAACTTTAAAAATAGTTCAAATTCAACAAAATATAGTCGGATCCAACTTAAATTGGGTCTAAACCCAAACTGACCAACTGCTAGTTTTCGGATACGAGATATTCATCCTAGTCACTATGGGCGTATTTGCCCAATTGACACATCTGAGGGAATCAATGTTGGACTTATTGGACCCAAATTGGGTTGGATTTAAACAAATAGTTGGGTTGGGTTGATTTGATTTTAGATCAAATTGATCATGTTGAATTTGATTTGGGTTGGATTCAACCCAATCCAACCTACGCTCAACCCTAATTGCTAATATGGGAAAATTTCATATTCAAGTTATTAAGTATCATTCATTTCAAAAATAAGAAACAAAGTTTCAAACATCAAATATTAATTAAATTTTCTCTATAAAATAATTAATTGAAAATATGTTTTATAAATTAAATATATTAAAGTCACAATTTTATATAATTCAGTCATAATTGTCAAACTAATTGGTCACATATTATTTTTCAATCACAAATAAAATTTTTTATAGGTTATAAATTATTTCACGGTCATCAATCAGAAATTTTACAGGTCACAATTTGTTATCAATCACAAATTAAAAAATGTATAGGTTATAATTTATTTATCGATCACAAATCATAAATTGTATAAGACACAACTCCTTACGAGGTCACAATGGTTACAAATTAACAAATTTTTAGGTTACACATTATTTATTGATCTCAATTTAGCTATTTAATTGATCACATATTAACTAATTCATTAGTCACAATCAACCGTATAATTTGTGACACCACTACCTCCAATGCCATAGCCACAAGAACCACCATCAACACCTATCGGTAACAACACAACCAACATAACTACCACCACTACTTTACAACCACCGTGACCTTAGCTACCATTGTCAGCACGACCACCCTCACCTCGGCCATCAACACCACCAACACAACAGCGACGCCACCACCCAAAATCACTTTAAACCACCATAAAACACCACCAACCGCAAAAACTACTTGCAAACACCACTATGACACCGGCTGCAGCAAGATCTGAATCTGTATTTGTTGTCGTGGCCACCAATGCCAAATTTTCTCTCATGAGCAACAACAGCATCTCCAAACCCACCATTACAACGCAATCGACACTGCAATCCACATCTCCACCACACCACTTCTGCCAAATCATCCATCCTCTAAACAACAAACCAAGACATTTCTGCATCATGTATCCAATAAACCCAATTTGAGGACTAGATGGAACCCTAAGCCAGATCTCTTCAATTTGGGGGGAAAAAATGCATTCCAAATACTCCCCGCTGACAATGATCCCACCTGCAGCAGTCTCATTAGAACCTCCTATAAACAACTCCAGATCAACTTCCTTAAACCTAAAACATCAACCATACATCTACATTCCTGGATCAATTTTGTCACTGACATCCTCCACAACTGCCACCACCAGATCCAACGAAAACACTCCGTCATCTTCGTCTTCATCGCCACCAGCAGCAACACCAAGCAGCCACCACCATCGCCACCTCCATGCCACTAACACCAACACAAACAACATCCAAACCTAATTTCTAGCGCGCATGAGAAGATGCATCACCTAGAACCATTGCTGCAAAAAGCAAAATCTTCATGCCGGGCGCTGCTATCGCAAACTGCAGCATAATGCTGTTGCGATAGCCTGAAAATCAGGAAAGTTAGCTAGAGCATCGTCGGTAGAAAGTCGTTGCTGTAAAAATCCGGAGAATGAGATGGAGAGTGTTGCCTTAGATAGAAGGTGTTAGATATTTTTCATCATTTTGCATGTGTTTAATTTTTTGTCTTGCGAATGATTTGCCGCCCAGATTAGTGTTTGTCGCTGTCCATCTGTTCATTTTTAACAGTCACTTCCAATAGACGTACTCAAGGATTTCAAGGGATACACCTATTCAAACAGTTGCCTCAGTTTCTATAAATTCTGGACGAATTCTCATTTGCAAACATATTAAAAACAATTTATTCAGCCACAAGAACCACCATCAACACCTATCGGTAACAACACAACCAACATAACTACCACCACTACTTTACAACCACCGTGACCTTAGCTACCACTGTCAGCACGACCACCCTCACCTCGGCCATCAACACCACCAACACAACAGCGACGCCACCACCCAAAATCACTTTAAACCACCATAAAACACCACCAACCGCAAAATCTACTTGCAAACACCACTACGACACCGGCTGCAGCAAGATCTGAATTTGTATTTGCCGTCGTGGCCACCAATGCCAAATTTTCTCTCATGAGCAACAACAGCGTCTCCAAACCCACCATTACAACGCAATCGACACTGCAATCCACATCTCCACCACACCACTTTTGCCAAATCATCCATCCTCTAAACAACAAACCAAGACATTTCTGCATCATGTATCCAATAAACCCAATTTGAGGACTAGATGGAACCCTAAGCCAGATCTCTTCAATTTGGGGAAAAAAAATGCATTCCAAATACTCCCCGCTGACAATGATCCCACCTGCAGCAGTCTCATTAGAACCTCCTATAAACAACTCCTGATCAACTTCCTTAAACCTAAAACATCAACCATACATCTACATTCCTGGATCAATTTTGTCACTGACATCCTCCACAACTGCCACCACCAGATCCAACGAAAACACTCCGTCATCGTCGTCTTCATCGCCACCAGCAGCAACACCAAGCAGCCACCACCATCGCCACCTCCATGCCACTAACACCAACACAAACAACATCCAAACCTAATTTCTAGCGCACATGAGAAGATGCATCACCTAGAACCATTGTTGCAAAAAGCAAAATCTTCATGCCGGGCGCTGCTATCGCAAACTGCAGCATAATGCTGTTGTGATAGCCTGAAAATCAGGAAAGTTAGCTAGAGCATCGTCGGTAGAAAGTCGTTGCTGTAAAAATCCGGAGAATGAGATGGAGAGTGTTGCCTTAGGTAGAAGGTGTTAGATATTTTTCATCATTTTGCATGTGTTCAATTTTTTGTCTTGCGAATGATTTGCCGCCCAGATTAGTGTTTGTCGCTGTGCATCTGTTCATTTTTAACAGTCACTTCTAATAGATGTACTCAAGGATTTCAAGAGATACACCTATTCAAACAGTTGCCTCGGTTTCTATAAATTCTGGACGAATTCTCGTTTGCAAACACATTAAAAACAATTTATTCTTCCTTCTTTCTCTTGGCATCAATCAATTATTTTCGAGTGTCTTCTTGGTTTGATCAAATAATCACAATTTGAATCAAACGACTCCATTGTATCCTGAGAGAGATTTTCTATCATACCCCAGTTGTGACTTTGTTGAATAGAGGAGAAATATCTCTTAAAAGATAACGTTTTTTCGTGCCTTAGAGTTCATTAACGTATTCAGATTTCCCTACATTTTATCAACAGAAGGTAGAGAGAGGAGAATATAGAGAGTAAAAAAGAGAAGAAAATGAGAAAGATCTAGGGTTTTGAAATCAGCTTGGGGTGGATGGTGTGGTGGTATATAAATTAATGTAATTTTATAACAATAATGTAATATAATTATTATAATTTAAAATTTTGATTATCATCTGATTTTTGATAAAAAAAAATAAATTACAAATCTTAATTTTGAAATGGAAAGCTTAAAATTCTGATAGGCTGTAATTTCCATATATCGATATTAGTGACGTTACTAATAGTAATCTTGATAAGAAAATTCTCTTATCTAAAAATTTCCAGATCTATGACAAACCAACCCATGAAATTTTCATGTAACATACTTTCATGACAAAGTTCATCAAACCTAAAAATGTTCTTATTGATAATCTCTTTATTTTCACGTAATTATATTTTTTCTAAAATAGAAAATATTTTTTTTAGGGGAGTATGATTTTATTTTTCAAAGAATTCACTCTCTCTTTCTCTTTCTCATCTACCCACTAATTAAAAAAAAACAAACATAACATTTTATAGGTTGAAAATTAAATTAGCCATACACATTTAAATAACAATTTTCATTCAAATAAGTTACTCGCAATCAAACGCATCCTTAGTAATCCAGTGGTGCAAATGACAGGAGTGAGATAGTTTCAACCTTGCTGACAGCCACAGTGTGAGCATTCAATTTCTGAGATATGGAATTGGACTCTTTGTAGGTATCAGTATACGAGCAAACTCTTGTTCCCTGACCCACTGGGACACATCTCGCGATTTACCTCCTTCAAGATACTCCATTAACGAAACGGTGAGAGTTGTCAAGGTTGGGGTCAACTTTTTTAGATGTAATGAAAATAGAAGTATTTTAATCAATCACGATGAATGTACTAACTCTGTATAAGACGACGAAAATAGATCGAACAGATATCCATTTTTCCAAATATTTGTGTGGTTTAGTTAAATAGAAAGCACCCTCTTCCTTCACCAAACACCAATTTGCAGAGAGATATGGCCTTGCCTTTCTCTCCCTCTTCTTCCTTTCCAATAATTGCATCCCAAAAATCCACTCATCCCAACACCACCAAATTCCATATTACTGAAAGACCCATTAATATTTTCACAGAAAACGCCTTAAAATTCACATATTCCATTCCCAAAATCACCAATTCGACCTTCCTCAACAAAGCCTCCCAAGAGCAAGAAAACACCAGTGTTGCCTCAGAATCCCAAACCCAGGAAAACCCTCCTGAGGATAACCGGGTCGAGAAAGATCAGAGTGAGGGAATATCAGAATTGGGTATGGAAATCAAGAAGGCAATGAAGGAGAGGGAGCAAAAGGAACCTGATTTCTTGAGTGGGGTGGCAGAGGAAATTAGGGAAATTGAGTGGCCTGGTTTTAGTAAAGTGTTGGGAACTACTGGAATTGTTTTGGGGGTGATGGCAGGGTCGAGTGTCGTTTTGTTAACTGTTAATGCCGTTTTGGCTGAGCTTTCGGATCGGGTTTTTGCTGGAAAGGGTATACAGGATTTCTTCGGGTGATGATAGAGGAGTTGTGATCTGCTGGGAGAGGGTATGCCCTCTTGACCTGCACCTGCCACTTGTTAAAGAAGCATTTGACTGCTTGAATTTTTGTTACATAGTTTCTTATTTTTAACTTGTATTCCTCTCTGTCATTTCTTCTATGGTTTTTGAGGAATTTTGGAATGGCATCGCCTTAGATAGAAGGTGTTAGATATTTTTCATCATTTTGCATGTGTTTAATTTTTTGTCTTGCGAATGATTTGCCGCCCAGATTAGTGTTTGTCGCTGTCCATCTGTTCATTTTTAACAGTCACTTCCAATAGACGTACTCAAGGATTTCAAGGGATACACCTATTCAAACAGTTGCCTCAGTTTCTATAAATTCTGGACGAATTCTCATTTGCAAACATATTAAAAACAATTTATTCTTCCTTCTTTCTCTTGGCATCAATCAGTTATTTTCGAGTGTCTTCTTGGTTTGATCAAATAATCATAATTTGAATCAAACGACTCCATTGTATTCTGAGAGAGATTTTCTATCATACCCCAGTTGTGACTTTGTTGAATATGGGAGAAATATCTCTTAAAAGATAACGTTTTTTCGTGCCTTGGAGTTCATTAACGTATTCAGATTTCCCTACATTTTATCAACAGAAGGTAGAGAGAGGAGAATATAGAGAGTAAAAAAGAGAAGAAAATGAGAAAGATCTAGGGTTTTGAAATCTGCTTGGGGTGGATGGTGTGGTGGTATATAAATTAATGTAATTTTATAACAATAATGTAATATAATTATTATAATTTAAAATTTTGATTATCATCTGATTTTTGATAAAAAAAAATAAATTACAAATCTTAATTTTGAAATGGAAAGTTTAAAATTCTGATAGGCTGTAATTTCCATATATCGATATTAGTGACGTTACTAATAGTAATCTTGATAAGAAAATTCTCTTATCTAAAAATTTCCAAATCTATGACAAACCAACCCATGAAATTTTCATGTAACATACTTTCATGACAAAGTTCATCAAACCTAAAAATGTTCTTATTGATAATCTCTTTATTTTCATACCTTTGATCACGTAATTATATTTTTTCTAAAATAAATTTTTTTTTTTAGGGGAGTATGATTTTATTTTTCAAAGAATTCACTCTCTCTTTCTCTTTCTCATCTACCTACTAATAAAAAAAAAAAAAACAAACATAACATTTTATAGGTTGAAAATTAAATTAACCATACACATTTAAATAACAATTTTCATTCAACTAAGTTACACGCAATCAAACGCATCCTTAGTAATCCAGTAGTGCAAATGACAGGAGTGAGATAGTCTCAACCTTGCTGACAGCCACAGTGTGAGCGTTCAATTTCTGAGATATGGAATTGGACTCTTTGTAGGCATCAGTATACGAGCAAACTCTTGTTCCCTGACCCGCTGGAACACATCTCGTGATTTACCTCCTTCAAGATACTCCATTAATGAGACGGTGAGAGTTGTCAAGATTGGGGTGAACTTTTTTAGATGTAATGAAAATAGAAGTATTTTAATCAATCACGATGAATGTACTAACTCTGTATAAGACGACGAAAATAGATCGAACAGATATCCATTTTTCCAAATATTTGTGTGGTTTAGTTAAATAGAAAGCACCCTCTTCCTTCACCAAACACCAATTTGCAGAGAGATATGGCCTTGCCTTTCTCTCCCTCTTCTTCCTTTCCAATAATTGCATCCCAAAAATCCACTCATCCCAACACCACCAAATTCCATATTACTGAAAGACCCATTAATATTTTCACAGAAAACGCCTTAAAATTCACATATTCCATTCCCAAAATCACCAATTCGACCTTCCTCAACAAAGCCTCCCAAGAGCAAGAAAACACCAGTGTTGCCTCAGAATCCCAAACCCAGGAAAACCCTCCTGAGGATAACCGGGTCGAGAAAGATCAGAGTGAGGGAATATCAGAATTGGGTATGGAAATCAAGAAGGCAATGAAGGAGAGGGAGCAAAAGGAACCTGATTTCTTGAGTGGGGTGGCAGAGGAAATTAGGGAAATTGAGTGGCCTGGTTTTAGTAAAGTGTTGGGAACTACTGGAATTGTTTTGGGGGTGATGGCAGGGTCGAGTGTCGTTTTGTTAACTGTTAATGCCGTTTTGGCTGAGCTTTCGGATCGGGTTTTTGCTGGAAAGGGTATACAGGATTTCTTCGGGTGATGATAGAGGAGTTGTGATCTGCTGGGAGAGGGTATGCCCTCTTGACCTGCACCTGCCACTTGTTAAAGAAGCATTTGACTGCTTGAATTTTTGTTACATAGTTTCTTATTTTTAACTTGTATTCCTCTCTGTCATTTCTTCTATGGTTTTTGAGGAATTTTGGAATGGCATCTTCGAAAGTGAAAAATAGCTTTTAGTTATATATTGTATGTGAAAAACTAAAAATGGTCAAGTCCAAATTGACACTAAATCAATTGAAACAAATTAAACAAATGAAATAATGCCAGCTGAACATTTTTTTTGATACCTTTTTTGACGTTCCTCTAAGTGCAAAAAATCTAAAGAGCGATGTGATGGTATTGATCAAAATTAATGGTGTAGATATGGTCACACGAAAGAGTTTAAATCTTGATGTCAAATGCAATGTACATGTAACATGGTTAAAACAAACGATACATTTGACATATATTTTAAAATGTCAAATATTATTTCTAGTAGTGAGAAATTACTTTTAGGCCATGTTTGATTGGTCTTGAATTCCATGGAAAATGAAAAATGAATTCTATTTTTCAACTTTTTTTATATTTGATAAAACATTTTTTTCATGAAATTTAATTTTGTCTTGAAAATTGTGATTTTCTTGGTTTTCCTTGAAAACCATATGGATAAGAATTGGTTTTCCAACTCACTGTCCATGTTTTTTTTTTTTTTTTTTTCCTTAAAATAAATTTTAAAAATTATTGTAAAAAAAATATTTTTCTTTAATGAACAATTTTCATGCAAAACAAAGCCAAACGAATACCAAAAGATAGATGATTTTCTTGAATTTTTTTTGTTGGCATTGGAAACAAATTTAATTCCCAATATCAATAAATTTTATCCATTTAATTGATAATTTTCATGTAAAACAAAACCAAATGAACACTAAAAAACACTTTTATTTTAACATTTTTCAGGTAAAAAATTATATCAATCAAACGCAATAATTTATAATTTCTAGAAAAATAATTTCTAAGCAATTCAATTCCTTGAAATTCGTTTTCAATTCAATTTAATTTCATATTTACAATTAAATAGACCCTTGAACATATTTATATAGTTGTTTAGAAGTATATGTTTGGTTAAAATAGCTTTTAGATGAAACTGACTTAACGCAACTTCACCGAAAAGTTCTTCTACAAACAAAAACTCTGGTAGACGGACCTCAAAATTGACCACTTCTCTGCTAAATCAACACAGCAAACACAGTAAAGAAAGTGCAACGCGGTAGGAAGGAGAACGGAAAAAAGGTTAGCAAAGTCGCGCATTTAGGAAACAGGGTGTGGGTGAAGATGGAGTTCAGAGAAGGACATCGTAAAGAGAATTTCTGGATATTTGAAAAAACAATATTAGTTGATCATCAAAGTTTAAAAGGCCAACCTCCCAATATAAGCAAACAAGTGTCCAAGTTAGGCTACCAGAATTCATAAAAAAACCAACTCCCAAGATACAGCACAGAGTTCGATCAGTTTTAACATCTAACCAACGAAAGCATATCAAGTTTACACCAAAGGCAACAAAGCATTCAAAGTTGTTAATTATGAATAAAAAAAGCTGGCACGAGAAAGGGCTTAATAGGAAAAATATCTACTCACTAACACTCGCAGGACCAACAAGGACTCCCTGTGCATTTCCTTCCTTCTTACCACTCTCATCTTTCATTTCACCATCAGTTTTTTTAATTCTAATTTTGTATTTGGCCTCGAATTCAGCGACCTCCTTTTTCTTCTTCTCCAAGGCCTCGTTGAGTCGATTTATTACCTCTTCAATCCCCTCCTTGTTTCGCTGGACAGCTGGCAAAACTTCTTTAATGGTTCTTTCCACGAGGACACCTCCAATCATCCGGTAGCAACGCCTCGACGGATCAAGAGGTTTAATTGCGTTGATCACGAGTGAATGCTCACTAACCTCCATCTCAAGTTCAGTAATTTTGGAGTAAATTTGGTTGATCTCAGCCCTCATGGCACCATAGATGTTGGCGACGGCTTGCTCGTTCATTGGTTCCTTACCATCACCTTCAGCTTTCGCCATGATACTAATATGAATAGGAAAACAAACTTTGGTCAAACTATGACTCATGTTCTTCTGTAATTTCTACATCTCAAACAGTTGAAAATGCTTTATGCAAATCACATAATAGGTCTCACAGCCCGTCGAATTGTGTCAGGCGGGAAACAGAAAGAATATTCAGTAGATTTCTTTCCGGTGAGAACTAGATACGACCCATATTGTCATGTGTTTCAGGATGCCATTTGATCCGGGTGGACGGGAACCAACCCAGATCAATTGGCTCCCCAACGACAATAATTGGCATAAAAGGAAATAAATAAAATACAGACACGTGATAGGCTCTCTGTCAAAAATTAATCCTTTTCCGACAACAACTTAAGCTAAAAATGCTAGAAGCAGAACATAAAAGGAAAATGAAATACACAGAACTGAGAAGCTATCAATCAATGTCCATCCTTCTCTGATGAAAAGTCCAGCTAGAGATACCTTACAATAGCGACAAGCTCCATCTTCAAGATGCATCATATTACCACAAACAAGAAAAACTAAGCCTTGTTCCCACTGGATTAGGGGTTCACAACTGAATCATTTTTCTCTACTCCCTTCAGTTCATTGTTATAGACCAACTAGAAGTTCGAAATAATTAAATCCTAACTTACTTCAAAGACACTTTCAAAGTTATATTTACTTACACCAGTAAGTGTGAAATAACAAGGTAAACAGAAAAAATAAAATAAAATAAATTTAACA